AAGCGAATGTATGGAGCGCACTTGTACACGTCCGAGTGGGACGACTGTCGCGATGTAGTCACGAACCTCTGGTGTTGTGGAGATTCTCAGTGCTGCCCCGCAACCCACTCGCATCGAATTTGAGCTTAGTTTGCAAGCTGATACGAAGTCCTCGGTGACTGTTTGAACCTTGAAGCCCATGAAATAGGTAGGCGGACGCCCGTATCCCATCCTCTCGAACATTAGCCCAACAGGCTGTACTTTCAAGTCCATGCATATTGAGCTCGAAACAAGCTGATGGTATGCTGGTTGTTTGCATGGTTGTCGAACATTCCACGCATGCGCACTGACGGTACCAACGGCGCAAGTACGGATCGAGCCCTCTTGTCGCCACGAAAGCGCAATGGAAAAGCCGTCAACGCTGCTGAAGCCGTTTCAAGCGAGGCCAACGTCCGTCTGTAATATGCATGCTGATATCTACGCATTTTATCGACACGCTTGCAATCGACCCAGCACTTAATTTGGAAACAAGATAATCGATTCAAGCTGTTCGAGTTTGACTTTCTTCTTCGTCAAACCGTGTGATTCAATTTTCGATTCCTTTGGTCGCGCGCCTCCATCGATCGATTCGCGTAAGATGTGCCGCTGCTGGTACAGTGGATCCGTCGCATTCGCTGTCAACACGCGGTAGTTCAAATTGATGTGGGATGGTTGTATGGATATGCTATCGACATTTGATCGTCCCACATCAATTTAAACGAGCGAGCACAATGGAACAGACACAATCGTTCATCTGCAGGCAAAGAGCAAGAGGTTTTACTCAGTAATCGCAAACGGCTGAGCTTGGTTAGGATAAACATAGGCGACACGACCCTGACAAATAACAATAGTAGTGGGGTCTTTGATCCCGTTCGCTAGCACAGACTTGCGCGGAGTCTTTTGATTACAGTATGCCCGATAACATTCTGGCACAAGAAAAACATACGCTATGCCGGCCGGGACGTGTCAACCGCATAGTCTGTGAAGCGCCAGCTGAAGCTGACGTTAGAGAATGAGGCGCTTGTGACGTGTCGGCTCGCTATGTGTTTGTGCCTCACACGCTGCCTACATGTTGCGTGTGTCCATAGAGCAGACTCTGCGCTGGTATCATCTATCTGCATGTCAAACACTTATCTTCAATCTATCAATAGAGTGAATTAATGTCTCAACGCACCGTCCAACCCCATGTTGTCTACAATCGCACGTGTGTTAGCGTGCGATAGCGTATCCTTTGTTTAGTGCGCTGAAGGTAAAGGCGCCCCATTTTGTCGCTATCTCGACTACGCATCGAGTTTTCTTGAACTTTGGTGCAGTGCCGTAACGAAGGACAGACGGGAACATACCCTCGCAGAGCCTGCTTGTCACAACCCACAAACCCCACACCTGTTGTATGCGTGGCTTGCTATGTGTGCATTCAGAGGTACATCCCCGTTTGTGTAGCGGGGTGTACCCTCGATAAAAATTTCAAGAGAGCGCGTCGCGCAATCGTGCGGTATGATCTAGCGACAGGTTGGTGTGCATGTCGCTAGATCGCACCGCACGAACGCGCGACATGCCCACTTGAAACTTTTTCGCACGGCCGTAATAATGGACAGACGGGAAGGGAACCCTCGCAGAGCCAGCTAATCCCGACAACGAAGTACATTCCTCGTTTTGTCTATTTATTGTAGACATACTCGTCTGTCGCTTGATCATGACCACGTGTCTTGACCTCGCAACGCTCAAGCATGTTCGTCAAAGTGTCATTCCAACTTTTGCCATTTGCACCGCAACTCGATACGTCTAGCTGAAATCATTGTTGGACATGAAGGTCTGTGGCATACTTGCTATCGCCATCGCTGTCTCTAGCCCTGCCATCAGTCTATCTCAATCAATGGACTGTACGTGGGATAAAATGTGTGTGGGAGTCGCCGACCAACTTCGGCATGGCTTCTCATCGCAGTGCAACACAAGATTTCCTGGTAACCCGTCAGGATTCCAAGGCTGCTGTCAAGGTCTCTGCACAGTTTCGAATTGCGCTTCCGTCCGCAAGTGTCATGGATTCGATGCTGGTGTCGTTAAGCATCTAACAACCAAGTGCTCGGCGGAGAGCGGTCATGTTCTTGGTGGACTTGAAAAGTGCTGCTCAGCTGGGTGCGTGAAGCCCGGATCGCAGTAATCGCTGGCCGTCGCAGCTGCGCGTGTCAGGATCACACACTCGCTGAGAGCACCCTTCGAGATGGTTCAGCGATGGTCTTGCCGGCACCATTCGGTGCTACGCCAGAGCACATCCCCAGCGTTGGTGAGCTGATCACATTTTAACATACCTTGAATACAAGAGTTGTTAGTTGCTGAATACTATATGTGTCTCGCTCCACTTTTTCGTTCAGTGATTTGTTTTGTCCATAGCAATCTCCCTCAACGACTACCGGTACCGCCGTTTCTTACGTCAGTTTCCCACAGAGCAGGAATATTAAATAGGAAGCACGCCGTTATCATTCTCATCACAAGTCTGTTCGTATTAGTCTCTAAGCCATTTACATAGTCCTCCTTGAATCCATCATGTTCATGGTAATCTGTGCTCGAAGGACTGCACGTAGACCCATTCGCTTACGCGAGTTAACCTTTGCCAAATGCGTGTGAGCAGCAAGACTGTAACGATCTTTTCGTCGAGAGGTCAATACTATATCAAACAGCGTGCTTTTCTCGGTACCAGATAAGTGTGGTGGAATGTCTACATGCGGCCCACTCTAATCTTGACTCCGCAATTCCGCGACAGTGATGCAATCGGAGAGAGACAATGCGTGACTCAGTCTACTGTATTTTACAAGCTAAGTCAAGCTTATCCAAGCTGTGCATAAAGCGGAATACTCATCTCTGCTTCTATCCTGTGGATATCACGCGACTGAATGAGCACTTTCAAGAAGAAATCAGTTCCTCAAAGTCAGCTTGATCGCCAAGAAGCCAGTAACTTCTGCTAGTGTCAACCCTTTTGCTTCAACATCGGACGCGTGGCTTCTGCTTCATAAGCACTGACAATTTGGATGGAGGTCTCATTATCGCGCCAGATGTCAAAACTGTGGGTGACGGCGACGCTTGGCATCAAATGCGTGTTGAAGGTGCCATGGGGTGCACAGCTTGGGTTCACAGAGCAATCTCGGCTACCTCAGCATCTACCCTGTAGTTGCCAAGGGTAGGCAGCTGATGACATTTGCATTGATATTGCAACGACTTGAGATGCAGAAGTCTTGTCTACAGAGAGAGGCACTGACCCGTGTCCGTTCTTGACCCGTCACTTGACGATGTGGTTAGGAAGTCTTGTGCATCAGATGATTCGCATCGAGTGCGCTCCAACCATTTTGCCAACACTAACAACGACGCATAAAGCAAAATTCGTGCTAGCGTAGTTGACTTGACCAGTAAACAAAGAGCAGCAATCACTTTATTCGTGTTTGATTGACACAGCGGAAGCTCGCTAGCACTAGTACCTTGCATCTAGATGTACCGGTACAAATGAGCATTCACTATATTTCATCGCGACCGACCACAGTATTGTCATGTCTCGAATTGCGGCATTTTATGGATATGCGATCAAGACAAAAACCATGGCCGCGACTATTGACTAATTGCGACGGTGGTACACTGTGAGTGGTACGTCCACGAACTAGGTACGTGTACCCAGTAATCTACCACTTCTTTCAAATTATTTTTGTTCAGCCACCAACGACACGTTTTAGGGTTGACTCCAGGAGAGGGTATCTCTTCGTTTGGACTTTAGGTAGTTAAGTCGTTGTTCGTTCAGCCGGTGCTGCTGATGATAGCGGTGCTGGTAGTGATGTGGCCCCTCGAGGCGCGAGTCCTAGAAGTTGGGATTGTAGCAGGATCCAGGCAACTGCGCCACTCCGATGCAGAAGGGATTGACGAGAAGTGGATGGATCAGGTTTAGCACTCCTAATGCACGAATTATTCATCTACGTTACGAGTTAACTTATAAGTAATGTAATTTGTCTGCAAAAAGACTTTTAGCTTCCACATCAAGCTCCCTCGTGTCGTGATTTCCTCATACTTTACTGGTTCAAAGAGTCGAACATTCGCTCGTATGCTCGATGTGCTTCGTGCCGCTATAAGCAATTGACATCCGTGCCTTCGAGCTCGTGACTCACTGTATATTGAGCGGTCGCGAGTAGTGGCCTAACGTAAGATGAGATCGAACATGCATTTCTGCATACATGAGTGGAAATACAGCTTGATTGCTTCTATATATCGTACACAGCATGCCGGCTGGATCACGGACACAGCACGTAGCTGCCGAGAAGTCTGGCTATTTCCTTACAATATACATGTCAGTTACACTATTGGCCATCACCCCCAAAATTGAAGTCGCTACATGATTGGCTGTATTCAACGCGCACTAACTTGTAGCTTTGTCCTCAGGTCTTGCAATGTAAGACAACAAATAAAGCAATTTCCTTTGATTATCGATACATGTCGACAGCAATTCGAACAACACTTCGACTGTCCAACCAACATAAAGTTTACGGCAGTCACCTAAAATCTTTGTGCGTTCATTCATGCGTCAAGGGCTGTATCTGGCAAATATAAGTAGCTAGCATTGCTACCAGCAGAACCACTGGCTGCGCCACGTCCAATTGTAAACAATCGAACAACAAACCAATTTATCAAACTTTTACTCTGCAAAGCACATGAACGATCTCAGTGAAGCGTACGGAACTTCAATACGTTATCTATCCGCGATAGGTCTTGTTGCCACGCTTTTTACTGCATGCGAGCTGCTTTGCGTCTAGCGTCATAATACCCGAGCTGTCGTTGGCTTGATCCAAAGCAGCGTACACATTGCCGATAGCATGAATGTACTGACTAGCTGTGATATAATCCGGAGGGCACAAAATGATGTGCCATCGCATCGTGTTTTCGATCGAGTCACAAGAGTAACAAGACTTTCGAGCATCTTGCATCGGAAGGCTGATTTAATCTGTGTCCATTTACTTGCCGTACTTGTGACGATGGAGGGCGCCGGGTAAGCGACTCAGCACCTTCAGCCACGGCGTCTCTACGATGATCATCTCATTCTCCGCAACAAAATCGATAAACGAAAGCGGACGATAGCGGTTGACGACACGGCAAAACCCGTCTTCGAGCTCCACTAATTCGCCTTCCGTGGCATCACTCTTGCCGTCAGACTCGGTGACGCTCATGGCACGGCGGCGGGACTTCCTCGACACACTCTTGGCGGACTGATCCGCGTGCTTGCCCATGTTGATCTGGTAGAGACTCGTTTGTGAGTAAAGGTACAAGAAGTCCGGATCGGCGGGATCAAACGTCATGCCCTTGATGTTGCGGCCATCCATAAGCTCCTTCGGAAACTGTTTGTGGTTCTGCCGGTACCACTTCGAAAGACCCTTGGTCTCCACGTCGTAGCACACAAAGCTGTTGGACACAAGTGTCACAACCAAAATCTTACCGGACGGGTTGAAACCCATGTTGGTGTGTATCTCGCTGGGCCGCGGCAGCTGACAATAAAACTGCATCGAGTCCAAGTTGTATATGGAAATGTTGTTCGAGGCGTCCCCGCTGGCAAGCCACTGTCCATCTGATGATATCGTCAGCGAGACAAGCGGAGATGACATATCACTACCTTCCTCGCCTGTATCTGTCGCGGTTGCAGCCTGAAAAGTCTTCAAAATCTCCATCTTGGTCAAGTCTAGCACCAGGATCTGGTGCGACGACGATGCAATTACGAGGCGGGTTGAATCAGGCGAAAAAGCCAATACGCGCGCCGGTTCCATCGCAAGACGCGGCAACGAAGCAACCTTCTTTGGCTGATAATCACGTTCAGCTGCCAACTCAAACAGCTTCAGCTCTTTTGAGTTCGAGCACGCCACATATTTGGCGCTCGAGGCCATGGCCGAGCACGACAAGTTCAACACATTGCTCATGTTCAACTGCAGCAGTAGCTTGTGTTTCTGCGCTTTCAGTCCACTGGCTGCCGACTCTGCGGCAAGTTGCCACAAATCCAAAGAAGTCGCCTTCTGAACAAGCAACACGCGCTTTTCGGGTGCAAGCGCGATTGAATGCGGATGCGGCATCGACGCAATTTTGGTCGGTCGAATCGAGCTGAACCTACCGCTAAGGTACCACACCAACTGAGTGTCGATTCCACCAGAAACCAAGACCGACCTAGTGGCAGGAGACAGCGCCAGCGCACGCACGTCATGACTGTGTCCCCGGTGGCTGTACGAGTACGCCCAAGAACTAGTCCCACTTTCAGCAACAGAACGCCGAAACTCAACGACCTGATTGTCTACGCCGGACGCATAGAGTAAATCGTTGTTCCGACTGACACATATTGCCAGAATGTCCGCGGTCAAGTGCGATAGCTTTTGCAGCAAGGTACCGGTCGGGGCGTTCCAAAAACTCAGGTTGCCCGCAGAGTCTCCGCTTACAAGAGTCAAGTCATCCAGCACAACCAAGGACCAGACAACTGTCTTTTGTTTGTCCAGATGTTCCAGCGTGATTCGCGACTCGCTGCGACCTGTGACTGCGTTCCAACAGTAGATAATGCCACTTTCACTACCTGAGAAGATCTTTCGCGCCTTGGCGTGCCAAGCTAATGAGACAACACGTCCACCCGTAGTGAGAAAGCTCTTGCAAAAGTTGACCTGGTGGGTATTCGAGTACGAAAAGAGCCGAATGCGCCCATCCTCACAGCCAACAGCCAACTGCTGCGTATCTGCGTCCATTACCATACTCCAAATAGGTCCCCCGTTTGAGTCCGTCACGTTCTTCTTACACAACAAGTGAAAGTCCACTTCCCACAGCGTCCCGTCCAGAGATGACGCAAAGAGACGGCCGCTCGTGGGATCCCAACACAGAGCTGATACATCACTGTGCATTGAGCCAGGGATCACAAATTTGAGGTGCCACTTGAGGTCCACACTCCAGAGCTCGATGTCGCCATTAGCACGAGCTACAGCCAATTGGTCTCCTGCAGCGTTGAAACACAGCACGTGTATAGCTGCTGGCATCCAGTCCACAAAGCGGCAGCGATGCACTTGGAGCGGGGCCGCGGCGACGTCATCGGTGCTGGCCTTGCGCTTCCTTGGCGTCATGGCGAATGAATGGCGAGGAATGGGTGGCTGACATTGCGACGCTAGTGGATTGGCCGAAAATCCCTAGGGTTTGGCTACCCGTTTATGCCCGAAAGACCGTATCTGCAAGCTTGGTACTACTTTACTGCTAATCAGTCTCCCGTACCTACGTACGTGCTGCCGCGTCGACATATGACGTGATCCTTCACCCTACACGATGGCACCAGCAGTTGTTTGAGCAGACAATACACCCTTTTGATGGGCCTTGTAGAGCTAGGTATGTATTGGTAGTGTTACAAAGACACGTTATGTATCGTAAGTAGCAGGCGATGAGGAGGGATGGCTTAGGCAAAAGTAGGTTTGCCTTGGTGCAAAATGCATGTTCACATGTGTAAGTGACAATTGGCTGGGATGGTAGCCGCCTGAGATGCATCTCTAGCCATGTATCAAGCTGTAATGCTAGAAAGACTTCATTGATTGCACCTTAAATGTGAACCCCGCTTTAACTTCGTACTGGAGGCAGTATGGTTCCCAAGACTTACCTTCCCGACTTCACGTTTTCAGATGGGCTTCCTTGGCTTCGCATGACATTGAGCAAAGATTCCCAATAGGCGCGGCTACTGTTAACAGATTCATTAGCCTGTTGAATTTATTGTGATTCGTTTGAGCCTTTTATAAATCCAGTCTTTCTTTTCTGTATCAATTAGACACTTTCAGTGGAGCTAAATATGTCTAGTTGGCCTCAATCAGGACGATCGTTAGGCTCAAGCATTGAACAGGCTCTACAAGGTGCAGTGTATGTTTTGATGCTCACGATATCGCCAATATGCTCTCTCGTACTCAAAGGAGTTCGCTGTCCGAGTCGCAGTGACCATCAAAGTGCAATGTGGTTCTCATTTCTTTGTTCGTGCTACTGGAATACACGATGCCTTGACTTCTTGTTCTAGCAAGGTGTCACAAGAACGTTTTAGGTAGACTAATATGCTGTTGTGCACATTAACGCAATGAAGTCGGATTTTGTGATACCTCGCTTGTTTACGTGGAGATTGTACCTATCGACAGAAGTTGATTCCACCATTACGATGTTCGGTCTACTGCAGACAGCTAGGTACGCCAGAAAATCATCCATATCAAAGTATGTTTCTCCCCGTACAGCGTTTCCCGTCGCCGTCGTCTATACGATTGCCGCATCTACCGTATATAGCACCCTCGCCGAATATAGCCTTTTGTTTACAATGGTCTCTATCATCATCAAGACTTACTGATACCAACCAATCGCGGTTTACGTACAAATTTTACTTTCGCGCGCGTCCACAAGGTCAAAGCTCTGTAAATTTGCGATGTATGTGTGCATTTGATCAACATAAATTGACAAATCGCTCCGCATAGATACAATACATGTTTGAAGACGAAGGCTCCATCTTTGTGATACAACTGCAATCGACCCTCCTGGAAAAAACAATCTTGCAAACTTGGTGGTTTGAAGGACGAAGAATCAGCAACAGGAAAGAGCTCGTTACTATGGTGAGTGGCACAGAAAAGTTGTATGCCGTTCCACATAAATATTACAGCTTTTCACAGTTCATCGAGTCGCAGCCTGACTGCTTGAGGCCACGTTGCACCTCTATTTGCACCGTAAAAGTACCCATCATACTAACGACGACATGCTTCTCAAGTTCAGCCTGAACACTGTATGAGCGACTGTACAGCATCAGATAGACACAGCTTACGTCGCTTTGGTAGATGTGTAAGTCAGACTCCACACGATGCATCGAAGAGGTCGGAAGGTAGTCAATAGGCATCAGGATAGATGGTTGTAACGATGTTGTGTCTCCGCTAGTGTCCACGTCGTACCTTGCGGGATGGAACGCTAGATTGCGTGACTTAGGTCAAATAGCTGATATCGGATGCTACTGACCGACGAAACCCGACAGATAAAGACATAGCAAAACTGTGCTGAGGCTGGTGTTACGGCATTGACTTGAAATAAGTCGCAATTGTGTAAGCGACTCTCCAATCTCTAAATGGAGTTTAGCGAAAGCAACAAGACCCTAAATGTTAGACGTAGTTGCACTTGTGCAGTAGAAGTAGGAAGTAAAAGTAAAATGTATTGAGTGCTAACTACTTTTCGTTGTTAACCCTACCATATGCAGTTGATGACCAGCACTGCAACTTGACCTAGTCAAGTTTTACACCTGGCACACATTTAGCGTGCCCATCACCTTGTGTCGTCCCTGGTCCCATATGACGTCCCCATGTCATCATCTCACCTAACATCTCCGATTGAACTTCGACATAGCGATCTTCTTCCCCAGTCCCATATGTCAAGATGTCACATCCTGGTCCAACCTGCCAACTTGTTAGCCAATCAGGTGAGGTTGCCATTTACCTGTCATGGGTCCTGCAGTCTTCACTCCGAGCTTCCATGGCCTGTCAGAAACAATTCCTTCTAGCACTAAGTTGGTCTATCCTGTAGCGATTGCTTTGCGGATGTGCGCAAAGAACACCTTGCTCAAGGCTCGTTGTTTCTGGGCAAGCAAACGTCCATGTGTCGAAAAACGACATGCCTTGGGAATCGGGATCTTGCAACGATCTATGCCTCTCTTTTCACATGCACTCGCAACGCTAAAGCATCTTTTACCGCAACATACGCCACATCGATGTACTAGTAGAACCGTACGCTGTGTTCGTAGCGAAAGTTGCACTGCCATAAGCGATGCAGTCGAGCCTGTAAGCACCACAAGACATCAATTTAAAACCGACAGTGTAAGTATTCCGTTCCCACGTCAATGCATATGAGTGCGTGACCAACTGAATTAGAATATATTGGCGTGCAAAAGGCGTCACAGGATTCAACATATCTCCCTAACGAAACCTGCACAGAAATATCATGGGCACAAGTATGATTGACAGATCAAGACCGCGGAGAGCTTATCGTAAGCTAGATGTAGGTACACACAAGTGTCAGGCGCATGGTGGTGACGCAAGTTGCTCGCGCTTTCCATTTCTTCTGGCTGCAATCTCGTTGCAAGCGAAGGGCATGGATGCGATTGTTGTTCTGTTCGAGCTAAATGAAATGGTCATGTTCGCAAGCTTTCTAGACGTTGACATGGGCATAAGCTGGTGGTTGCCGCTGTAGCCTAGTCCGTTAAGCTCGGAGCCTGCCGGCAATGTCCAACCGGCGGCGCTAAGGAGGGTCAGGGACCCAACAATGCTGAGGAGTACCGTCTAAGTTTGTCGAGTTGCTGCAGCCTCCGTTCTGCGACAGGAGACACTTTAGTCGTCCAGGTATGCGTAGTCCCTTGGAAGCTATCTGTCTACTAGGCAATTTACTTGACGTCGGGTATGCCACAGGAGGACTTATTGCACTCGCTGTGTTTTTCCACGCAATAAGAACCGAGGCCAGCCCAACGCCTCCTGCTTCTTTAGGCGTGTGGAGAAGCGTAGGAGTAAGTTTATGACAAAAAGCCACCACAATGATTGAGTAGTGCCATCGAAACTGCATCTGGAGATCCCGTAGCGCGGATCCGCCCAGCGCGGGAGGTCAAAGACCGCCGCGGTTACTAAATTTGCCGACAGCACGATGGTGTAAGCAGCAGCGCTCTGATATCGACACTAGTTGCGAGATGAGACGCAGTTGCCCGTCTCCTGTGAACAGTACGGATACGCGCAGCCCTGTTCGTGTCCGTGAGCGTGCTCGCCCCGACTGCGTACCTGAGTACTGCGCGGTGCCGCCGTGCCGAAGCAGTGGAACGCCGAGACACTCCGCCCTGTTCCTGGCCAAGCTAAAAAAGGGTACTCTACCTTAGCACGGTTGTACTTGTTAGCCCGACGAGCGACCACATTTTGCCACAATGTACAGTACCTTAGGAAGCTGACGCGCTTCTTGTAAAGCGACAGTCGCATCGTCGACAAAAGCGCATGCCGCGTGCCGTACACCCGTGAAATATTGTGATGGCAACGGCCATTCAGCACAGAGCCCCTTTACGTGCAAACCCTTCGTCTCGGCATATGCATTGTAAATTACAACGTTGGGCGACTTCGATCCTGCTCTCGTCACCCCACCTTGCTGTCGGTGCGGGACCGGTAGAGCCCGGGCTCGTCTTACGTCATCCACCGCCGTTTCGGCGCGCTTATAAATGGTCCCGGGTGCGAGCTGATTTAATTGTCGGGTCCTGTCGGGACCCTGTCGAGTCCGCGAACTCGGCGATTCGCCTCCGCCAAGATGTCAATGGAATCCATTGGTCGATTGACGGGAATTTACCAGAATTACGGGGGTCGCCTCAGCAAGTGTCTAACTACTGGGAGCATTCGTACCATCGTACCTTGGTGTTTCATGCCCACCCGGAGCTTCACCGTTTCCCTTGGAGTGTGCTAGAGACGGTGGCCAATGTAGATGTGTGGACAACGCTTATGAAGCAAGCGTTTCACGTTCATAAACGCCTTCTGCACCCTGGCCTCCAGTCCTGGTTGAAGGCCTATGACGCGCAGGCGGTATCGAATAGTTGGCAGTCAGCTGCATCAAATCAAACGCCTTCCCAAGTTTGGAAACACGCAAACGGGCTAACGGAGTATCAAGTCTGGACATGCTATCGTATCGCGACAAAGCAGCTAAATCTATACCATGCCGGTCGCACGCTGGACAACAGTTGTCGTACGGTGCTGCACTGCCGGGGACGCAAAGAGACAGCGGCGCACATTTTCTGGGAGTGCCCAATCGCGCAAGCGTGTTGGTGTCACTTGATAGGACACTGGACCGGTGGGGGTGCGACGAACGCAGTTCTTTCCACCTTCTTTCAGCACTGCGCCAATCGCAAAGCCCCGCCCATTCCACGTCAGCTGAGTTTGCGGTTGCAATGCCGTTTTCAAGATGACTCTGACGCCGCAGCAACAGAATTCGAACGGATCTGGTTCATATTAAGCTCCATCTGCCAAGAACATTTGTGGACCGAGCGGAACTCGGCGGTCTTTAGAGGAGCCGTGACTACTCCATCCGCAAGTGTCCAAATGTACTGGACACGCGGTGTTCGCCAGCTACGGGCAATTGCAATACGCGAGCATCGAGCCGCGGCTACGGCCGTACGAGGGGCCCGACTTCATGCCTGTCTTGAACTTCTGATTCAAGAGCCCCGTGGACACCCGCCCTACGCGGGTGTCAGCCACGATCCGCTGCCGCGACCGGCGCTCATATCCTGGCTCAGGATTTTTCAGACCTCTTGTCCACATTAAATATGTCAATAGATGATCATGAAACTCCTCCCCTTTACGTGCAAACCCTTTGGGCGGTGGTCCTAAATGTGCAGCAACAGCACTGCAAATCTTTGACTTGCCGTCCGTCTACCCACGCGCGTCTTTTCTATGAGCGTTTCGGGGGGAAGGGGAAGGCCCGACTCGCTATACAATAGCTCTGGACTCGCGTCCGCAAAGCCCGACCGGCTCATCTCTGTAAGCTTCACTTCACTTGAGTATGGGCTCTCTGGCTTCACACAAAGCACTCCGTTCGGTGTACTTCCGTCTGCGACAATAATCGCTTCCGTACATATGAAGGCTGTGACACTGACACACGTCACTCATTGTTCGATTTGCCCGGCCGGCCACTCATGGGGTTTCACGTGACTGTGATGCTGCTTGTTGCGGCCATTCTTGCAACCACTGATGCAGCCCTCCGACCAGACCGACTCAACTCGCTTCGTTTGACTCATAAAGACGATCCTGTTCAAAGAGACAATCCGGACAGTACCAGCGACGACGAAGAGAGGGGGCGACGTACTACGGCACTTGTGCTTTCTGTCATCCGAGCGTCCGTGGCGAAGTGCAAACCACAACTACTTACTGAGATCGTGGCGGGGATGCAGAAACCTCCGAAAGAGGTCCGTGCTTTGGTTCGTCGCGACAAAGCAACAGCGATGGAGATTTTCAAGCACCAACCCTGGGTCAGCTACTTCAAGTACGCTCGCAGGCGCAAGAAGCGAGTGGCTATCGTATCGACATTGGCAGAGCGTTTTGGTGACAGAGCGCTGGCTTCGAAGATTATCGCGTTGAAAGGCGCCAAGATTAAGGCCCTGAAGAGACTTGCAGCCAGTGCGCAGGCTACGCAGGTACACATCTGGACAAAGCAGAGAAAATCGGCTGAAGACGTCTTCCGCTTCCTCAATCTGGACAAAGTAGCTGAACGGAAGACAGCGGGTACCACAATCAAAGAAGATGTTGCCAGCCTCTTCGACAATGCAGAGTTTGGAATCTGGACAGATTACGTGCGCGGTCTTTACGAGCCTGACGACCAAAAGGCAGAGGCCATAATGATCGAAACGCTGACAACTTTCTACGGCGATGGTAGGCTGGCCAAGATGCTCTCCAGAGCAAAGCGGATCGATGAAACCGAGAACCTGGCCACGCGTTTGCTGGAGGCGCAGTTAAAGAACTGGCTGAACAGAGATGTCACGCCGAAGCAGGTCCACGTCTGGATGAGAGTTCGAAGACAGACGATGGACGAACAAGAGATTGCATGGTTAGTGGAGTACACCAAGGATTACGCAAATCTAAACCCTGTGTAGCGCAGAACGAGGAGATTGTCAAACAGACACGTTTAGAAATTGAAGAAAAAGTAAATAAAAGTATTTATCAATGTAAGTTCTGCGTCATCTCGCGATATATGTAGCATATCGGCGCTCGGCACTAGCGCTCATTCCTGCGTTCGGTCTTGATCCGCTCTCAATCAACACTTTGGACCAATTGAATCAGTCACTCAACAGATGAGTGCCTGGTTGTCCAACATTCTAAACAATGTTATCGAATTATGATTGAATGCGCTATTCTTCAGTCTCTTTTGTTTGTAGTTTCTTCGGTCTGTGGAGCAGAGGTCGACGCATGTGTAGGATCACGCCCGCAGTGTTCGTTGTGATAACAGCCAGCCAAGCGATATGTGTCAGCACGCTCTCCAAGTGCGTTGTATATATATCAAACAATGAACACACAATTTAAAATCTCAGAACCTCGCACTCGATTTATTGCGCACAAGTCGGATGGCCAGGCTAGAGCCCCCTCACAGCACGACATGCTCGTTGTCTTTGGTCAGTATGCAATCAAACAGCTCATTGTTATGCTTCGATGTGCAGCTTTGTAGACTGTACGAGCAAGCTATGCTCGGAGACACCTGCCCTCCTCCCCCTCTGAAAAAGGCACTAGGCTATTGGATGATGTGCTTCGTTCATATGGTGCCGCAAGACAAGCATGTCTTCATCTACATCAAAGCGTGACCGCAATATGAGGATCGCTGAAATCGATGCTTGCTAGCACACAAGCTATCGTCAATGAATCAATTTCCACATACAGTGTGTTGCCTGCCGCTATCGAAAACAAGATTCTGTACGCCTCGTATAAACACGCAACATCATGCACACTGAAGTGGCTTAACTAGTAGCAGCGCCTTGGACGTTACAAAGGTGTCGGAGTTGCCGAGCCCCTGACGTATCGACCTTGTCGAGCCGTAGGGGCATCGCTAGTAGCTACCACAATCGACAAGACCACTCAGGTGTAGCGAGTATGCGAGCAATCAAATCAAATCAGCGACTTATCGAGCACGAGGAATTCACCATCTCGCTACATTGAGGCCGAGACCGCCTTTTTATTTGTCGTCAAAAGGAACCTTTACATTGGTCCACGGCAGACCGTCATCGCCAAGGCACTGTTGTGTATGGTCTTTGACTCGATGGCCTTACCATTGCAGTGGGCTCCATGGTAAAAGACCGATTGCGAACGCGTTGCCAACAGCAAACTTTAAGCGATCAAGCGGCCAGGATGTATGATATCAGTTCACTATTGACGTAGAACGCAAACAGTGCGCATTTCGATGACTGTACCATTAGTTTTGATGCAACTAGATTGATTCAGTTGCATCGAAACAAATGGTACAGTCACCTTCTGCTCTCGTGGATATCATTTTCGCGTGATTACAAACAATGTCCTCGACATCTGTGCGCAAACTACTTGTCGTCAGTAATGTGCCCCACCACGCACGATGTTTTATCCATCAAACGTTCTGTCTTACATTAAATAGGGAAGCAATTCCCAAATTTTCACGGTTCAGCTCAAGCCAGTCTTTTTCCCTTCGGGGCAGTCACGTCGGAGGGAATCCTCCCCTTGGGGAGCCGACGTGGTCGAAGATCTGACGCGGGCACGCTGCACTCGCAGTCGCGGGTGTGGGCGTAGGAGACCGACGGGTCGCGCAAGCGGCCCTAGCAGGGGTGTTTTACGGACTGGAGGCGTACCCCGCGCCACGTGTCGCCGCTGCGGCGAGCGCACACTCCACGTCGGGGGCCGCGCAAGCGGCTGAAGGGGGCCACCATCGCAGATGGTTGAGCTCCTCGGAGAGATAGACGGCGGGTTGGCGTTCTCCACGCCACGCAGTCACTTCGGTGATCGCACTCCACGTCGGGGGCCGCGCAAGCGGCTGAAGGGGGCCACCATCGCAGATGGTTGAGCTCCTCGGAGAGATATATGGCGGGTTGGCGCTCTCCACGCCACGCAGTCACTTCGGTGATCGCACTCCACGTCGGGGGCCGCGCAAGCGGCTGAAGGGGGCCACCATCGCAGATGGTTGAGCTCCTCGGAGAGATATATGGCGGGTTGGCGCTCTCCACGCCACGCAGTCACTTCGGTGATCGCACTCCACGTCGGGGGCCGCGCAAGCGGCTGAAGGGGGCCACCATCGCAGATGGTTGAGCTCCTCGGAGAGATATATGGCGGGTTGGCGTTCTCCACGCCACGCAGTCACTTCGGTGATCGCACTCCACGTCGGGGGCCGCGCAAGCGGTCCTAAAGGGGTTTGTTGCCTTATATGGCAGCATACCCGCGTTGTACGTGCTGCCGCTCCGGCGGTACGCATGTCCCCAGTCTACTTGGTCGCGCCAGCGGTCATGATTGACTCGTAGTTGGCTTCGGTAGGAGGGTCTCTGACCTCGTTGCCGTCGCCCCTGGCTCTACGGAGCCCTTTAGTTGTCGACCCGATACCCGGGCCGTACTTCTTGTCACACTTATCAGTCGTTAGTTATCATAATAATGGACGTACTTGACACCACATTAAATAGGGATGCTATGTTTACTCCCACGTTCAAGCCAGTCCTCTAGATAAGTATAGAAGAGCAACGCATCGTATGTATTATGCTCAGCGACGTGAGTTCAACTGGACAAGAAGGTGCAAATTAGTGCGGTAGGGAAGCGAGAGTTTCGCAAGGACGAGACTAAGATTCAAGGAGCACGCCTGCTGTCATGTATGCGTCAACCAGACAGACATCTAAGAGAGCCGTCACCTACGGTGACCAGCCCCGCACAACCACCGGACTCAAACGAGGTACCGGTGTTGCTAACCAGGCTTAAGATACATCAAACATCCTGCAACCAGTAAAAGGCCAACTAGACACGCTGCTTCTCTCTCTCTCTCAACTGGACACGAAGGAAACTCGTGTCTTGAACTTGTTGCAGTAGTAGTGGCCATACTTAAGCCGTACAACAACTACTACCGCAACAAGTTTATCAATGACTACGAAGCGTCTTCTCACGTGACCAGCATGGACTATCGGAACGGAAGTGACGTGTTCCTTGTGCGATTGGTTCATCGACTTGCTACGTTCGTGCCACTTTCACGACTCACAGCGAGCGTATGCACAGACCACAATCGTGCATGAGATACCAGTCTAACATTGGCAATGGCTATGCATTTGAGTTAGTACAATCCAAAACCTAGTGACGAATCCTACCTTCGTTGGATCATTCGAAGCTGTCGGATACCGTCTACAGACAAGTAAATGTGATCCTTATGATTTCATGATCGTTGTCATGAACTTCGTGTGCGTAAACTTGTATGCAAGTTGTGCGTCCAGGATGGCCTTCGACGCCGCCGGACTCAGAGTCTCATTTCTACACACTGCAACTCAACATTTTGCTTGTGGACGTGTACTTTGGTCCAATGGCGGTCACCCGCCACTTTCGTACTGGAGCGTAGGGTCGTCTCGTCTTGGGGGAGTGGCCATTTTGCTTACACCCTCTTCATCTGTGAAGGCTTCACCCTGGCGGCAAGATTTGTGGAATACCAGGACGATCGCTGTCGCATTAGACGATGTGGTCCTCGTTAATGTGTACGCTCCGTCGCTCAGACCCGAGCGCGAAGCCTACTACGTTTCTCTCGCCCGTTGGAACTTTCCACGGGACAGCTCTATCGTGACAGGTGACTTTAACTGCGTCCAAAGCCCTCTCCTCGATCGGCTGGGTCATCATCGGTCGTGCCGACCGGAAAGCCCAAGTCTTCAAGCTCTTCTGGATCTCCACGGACTAGAAGATGCTCGGCTCCTTCGCTCCCACGCCGAAGATGAGGAAGCGGACGACTGTGTGGATCATTTTACATACTGGGAGGGGGAATCGGCAAGTCGCATTGATCGTTTCTATGTTTCTCAGCGGTGGGCTGATTTGGTGCAGTGGTTAGCCGTCCGAACACCTCCCCAGGCGTCGGACCATCAAGAAGTGGAGTTACACTTACGCGTGCGGCAGCGTACTACCTCCTCCCTCTACCGACGTCCGGTATCATACCCCATTCAGACACACCAACCCGAACGCGTGCGCTCCGATCTCATAGCGGAAATGGATGGGTGGGCGGTATCCCCAACTACGACGGTCAGGCAATGGGATTCAGCTGTGGAAGCATGCAAACAGTGCATCACAACCGTCCGCAAGCGCGAGCGTCAAAGACGTGCCCGTTTTAAGAAGAGGGTAAGCCGACGCGACCGGCGCCAGCTCTTGACCCGTCCTCAGTGGATCAGCGCTAATATGGAAGATCACCGCCTCGAGCATCTCGTTCGATTAGGGCAGAGCCTCGAACGGACCACTGCGCGCCTCCGATGGTCGTTTAAGCGAGTCGCAGATTGGGAGCGCGTACAAACAGTTACGAGTATCGTTCGCATTTATGGGCCGCCCTTTAGGCGACACCTATCCATTGCTGACAAATTTGCTTCGGAATGGTCACCAGTTCTTAGTGCCGTGCATCGGGTGGAACCCTTGGCAGCTTTACCAAGAGCGTTGCTTGACTTTGTGTCAGTGCCTGACGATCGCTTGATTTCTCCCGCTGCTAATAATGGGCTGATGGTTGACGTCACTGAGACTGAAGTCCTTCACGCCATCACCGAGCTTAGCCGTCACAAAGCTTCAGGGCCGGACGGTCTTAACAATGACTTCTACAAAGATACGTCCGCTTTACTGGCTCCGGCGCTGGTGCACGTGTGCAATCAAATATTGCACGGTTCTCCTATGCCACCTTCCTTTCTAGAAGCGATGATTATCCCTCTTCGGAAAAAGGGTGATTCGCCGGACGCACTTGACTACAGGCCGATCTCTCTGCTCCAAACCAGCTACAAAATTTTTGCGAAAGTGCTGGCCTCCCGACTACAGCGCGTCTTACCTACACTCATCGGGGAATCGCAACAAGGTTTTGTTCGAGGTAGACAAATGCAAAAACTGGTCATGATGATGACTGCCCAACTCGCTTCAGCGGAGGAGAGGGCGGATC